GTAACACAATGGCTAATGCTGCAGCAAAAACGCTCAAGATATATGTGACACCACTTCTAATCCCATCTGCTGATATTACACATGCAATTAGATCTTACATCAGAGATCTCATGCAAGATAGGTGGGACACCCTAGCAGGTATAAATGTATAACATGCAATAAAACCAACTATCGGTTACATCTACTTGGTTGTCAGAGGCCATTATGCGACGATGTAGTATTGGCCATACACGTTATATACATGTCATTGAATATTTATTGAACGGTAAAGAGCCTCCGTCCTGGATCCCTTGTGTTGTTCTGTATCATTATCATCACAAGAATATTTATTGCAGGGTAAATAAAAGCGACAGAACCCTTTCCATATTGATAAGAAATATCTGCTAAAAGCAAAGTCGAATCTACGATTCCGATTTTACCGTGAACATGTGTTGATCAATCACTATCAAATGGTAATGATACCAGTTGTTCGCAAAAAGGTGCGCGTATCCTGCCCCACCGGTGGCATCCATCACAAACACATGCAATAGCAAGTCAGTTGATCACCTAAACAAACACCGAATAAATGGTCTGCCATTAAAGTGTTTAAAGGCTTTACTGGGGCCTTGAATGTTGTAACTCTGAACAAAGAACTGTTGAGCAAGATTCGTAAGACGCTCTTTTAAATCTTGGTAGAAAGAACATGCTCGATTGTTCCACTAAAGTTGTGAAATTTAGACACCAAAGGCTCAACAGCGGGAATATTGACTGACATAGAGGGAAAGTTCATTTTGGGAAAGTCATCCCTCTTGTCACACTGTCTTTTAGAGAGTGTTTTTGCCACTCTGAATCTGTATGGATAGATACAAGTATGAAACAGACGAGGTGGTCTCTCTGGTCCCAATTATTTCTAGTCAGGTGAGTAAATCAGTGGAAGGGAATTAACTATATGATAAATATCAAACAATATTAGATCATCGATATACCTGAAGCTTAAGTAAAATATCTTGGCTAAATTACCTTGTTTCCACTTTGCCAATTCGAGAAGAATTCCGATTTATATGCATAAAGAAACAGATGAGAAAGAAGGTGAACACAATTGGTGCCCATAGGGCTGCCTACTTCTTGCCCAAATGTATTACCCCAATATTTTACATTGCTGTTTTCATCTTAACAACAGTCAAGGTCCTTTTTAGTAATGTTAATTCTCTCATTACTACTGTGCTTTTTATTTGAAGTAGTACCAATTCATAAATTTTGTTGTACAAAGTTATTCATTTATATTAATTGGTAGTATATGATTATTACTTGAGATTGTTGTGGTTGTACCCTCGATGTGGGTTGAAGTAGTGTAAAGTTATTGTAAAGTCCATGTCATTCATTTGTTTGTATCTCCACTATTTTAATCGAAATACAAGTATATTTGTCGTTTTACAAAACGTTTTATCCACAACGACTAAAGAGATAGTGTAAATCTTGCAGTGGTATATGGTCTCTAGTAAGGTGGCCTAAGTTCGAATGCTGGTGATCTATAGCCCGTTTTATATCGTATTCTTTTGTATAGTCACATGCTAATTTGTAATACAACTCTGTGATACCTTTTACTGTGTTGCATCACTGTCCACTATCCATTGTCGACATGTTTTATGTAGTCTGCATGTGTTGTGTTGAAACGTTGCCGATGTGACTATAAATTTTAAATCACTCATTCATTAACTCATCCATTTTTTATGTTTGTCCAGGTTGCTGTAGCATGATTGAGTTCGAGGACAACAAGTCTTCTCACGGTGGATGTTTTGTCATAGATGAACATTATCGCCATAAAAAGATAGGGAAGAAGTTGATTACAACATTATTGTCAACATATAGATTGAAAAACATTTCAATCCTAGCGCTGAATCCTAATTTACAAAAAGGTTATAAATCTGTACATGAAATGCGATTCTTGTCAAAGAAAAAAAATAATGTCAAGTTTCCATCTTTATTGAGCACTAAGTTTCGCATACATCCGTCAACTGGCGCCTCTCTGGAACATGTCGAGAAATACGATTCACGGATACATCCTGTCAAGAGAACTACTTTCTTTCACAAATGCATCATTGCAAGCGCAACGTCTGTGTTAATAGCTGTGGATACATGTTGTAATGACGTCATTGCTTATGGTGTTCTTCAAAGAGCCAATGAAGGATGGAAACTTGGCCCAATGTACGCAGATAATGATGACGTAGGATACGAACTTTACAGAGCGCTTCATAATGAAGTGCCGGAAGAAGACGCCATGGCAGTGTATCCATACACGGGGAACCACTCGGCGATTGCCTTAGAGAAATGGGATTTTCTTATCAACAAACCTTCACATTGATGTACTCGAAGAATCCTCTTAATATTCCTGTCGGAAAGATGTATTCTGCAGCTGGATCTGTATTCTCAACAACCACAAGGCAGTCCAGTGGTTTCGATGGTCGCTCAGCCAAGTATACTGGTGTCTGTACTTAGTTCACGAGGTGAAACTGTCATTGTAGGTTGAAGTTTAAGCACGTGTTGATGTTCTTTCTTAAAGAGCAAGAAAAGTAAAACAAATTCCTAGAGAGAAAAATTCATTACAATTCGTCCTACGAATGTCTAATGTCCAAGTGAAAGGGCTGAAATCACACGCTCCGTAATCGGCTTAACAAAACAAACCTTTATGGGGGCGTGGCCTGAAAGTACCTGCGCGGCGGTGCAGTGGTGTGTGACAAATGTTTTCACTGGACGTTATGTTGACTTGCAACGATCTGTCGTCTAAATAATATATCTTGTGATGCTTAGCAGCTCTACGGATACGTCAAGAAGCGGTTAGCAACAACTCAAACATCAGTCAAGAACAAATGTCAAGGCGTGGCTATTTCTGTTTATGCTACAAAACTAACAACATGTATACATTGTTGAAGTTTGAAACGACCTTTGATCTTGATATTGTGAATAATTAAAACAACAATTGATGTCTTTATTCAGCTTTTTATGACTAACATCCTTTTTGGAAACCAAAAACCACCTGCTGCCATCGGTCCAATTCCACACAATGAATGCCTTTTACTGAGGGTTTAATGGTTTGGCACGTTACCAACATATGGTACATATTTTGTAGACTCATTAATTAATGACGAATGCATGGACAGCCTATATTAATGGCACCTCCATATATATGGTAACTTTTCAAGAAGAATCTGCAACTTTGAACATTCCTTACTCCGCACAATTTTATACACATGCCCATATACCGACATCCTCACACGCAACCAACCATGTCGGCTTAACCGGACATAAATATTATGTAAACTTAAAATGTGTAAAATTTAGGAAGTAAGCAAGCGGATTCATTGGGTACGTTATACGTTTTCCTGGTCTTTAATCTATATATATAGCTCCTCGAAATTGAAATACTAACTGACTTTTAGGATCTCAGACTGAACCTTATGAAGAATTTCACGGGAATTGGTTATATATGTTAAACAATGAAATCCGGCTATAGTATACTATATGTTTATGTCCATTTCGTGGGTCGAGATAATCAACAGGCCTAGACGAGTTGCCGAACACGGTCACCCATCCAACTACTCTGTGCGACCAATGTTGCTAAGGTTCACTTGACTTGTGACCTGTTCGCTGTACAGATGGCGCCTTGTAAATAATCGGGTCTGGACCAGACAACCAGCAATTGATATTACGACAATAATCAACCAATCACTGAGTCTTGACCACCTCTTCACCACACCCAACAGTGTTCATCAAAAGCAATTCTCTCCTCTTGTGATCAAACCGAGATATCCTCAAACACTAGGTGAGGTGAAATGGGGTTTAACGTCGCGTCCAAGGAAATTGCACTTATATAGCCACGTGTGTTTGTGTGGTTTAAACATGTCATCGACCCCAATTTCGTGGATTGCTCCCAATTGCTCACTGGGTTGTCTGGTTCAGACTCGATTATTTACAGACCGCCGTCATATAGCTGCAATATTGCTGAGCGCGGCGTAAAACAACCAACCAGCCAACTAGCTGGACTGACGCCGATTTATAGAGCTAGCCCTTTGAGATATCATGCCGCAGTTTAACATGAATACCCCACTCAGACACAGTATACTGACTTCGAGACGACCAGCCCCTTCATGCCGAGCGCGAGGCAGGGTAACAGCAAGTACCATCTTTTATCATATTTTAGTACGACGCGGCCGGGGATCGAACCCCGGACCTTCCGCTCTCCGGACGCACGCTCTACAACTAGACCAAGGAGGCAGTCCCTCGAACGCTACTGAAACAAGCAAACACAACAATATCGAACCATCTCACCAAAGACAATTTTCGCAGTGGTAGCCGGGTGACGCTGAAAATTGGCCACAAATCTTGAAACTCACCGAAGGCTCGCATAATACACATTTTATTAAATTGTCAGATTTAGCAATCGGCAATCGGCTAATAATCTCTATTGGTTAAATCTCTATAGGTTGAACGTGTGTGTAACGGTGCAAGTAAACGCTGGGTCACGGTGCAAATGAAGGTGTGGGCCACGGTGTAAGGGAAGGTGTGGGTCACGGTGCAAGGGAAAGTGTAGGTCACGGTGCAAGGGAAGGTGTGGGTCACGGTGCAAGGGAAGGTGTGGGTCACGGTGCAAGGGAAGGTGTGGGTCGCGGTGCAAGGGAAGAGGTGGGTCGCGGTGCAAGGGAAGGTGTATGTCAGGGTGCAAGGAAAGGTGTAGGTCGCGGTGAAAGGGAAAATGTGGGTCGCGGTGCAAGGGAAGATGTATGTCACGGTGCAAGGAAAGGTATGGGCCACGGTGTGAGGGAAGGTGTAGGTCACGGCTCAAGTGAAGGTCTGGGTCGCGATGCAAGGGAAGGTGTGGGTCACGGTGTAAGGGAAGGTGTGGGTCGCGGTGTAAGGGAAGATGTGGGTTACGGTGTGAGTGAAGGTGTTGTTCACAGTGCAAGGGAAGGTGTGGGTCACGGTGCAAGGGAAGGTGTGGGCCACGGTGCAAGGGAAGATGTGGGTTACGGTGTGAGGGAAGGTGTGGGTCGCGGTGTAAGGGAAGGTGTGGGCCACGGTGTGAGGGAAGGTGTGGGTCCTGGTAAGGGAAGGTGTGGGCCACGGTGTGAGGGAAGGTGTGGGCCACGGTGTAAGGGAAGGTGTGGGTCCTGGTAAGGGAAGGTGTGGGTCGTGGTGCAAGTGAAGGTGTGGGCCACGGTGTGAGGGAAGGTGTGGGTCGCGGTGTAAGGGAAGGTGTGGGTTACGGTGTGAGTGAAGGTGTTGTTCAAAGTGCAAGGGAAGGTGTGGGCCATGGTGTAAGGGAAGGTGTGGGCCATGGTGTAAGGGAAGGTGTGGGTTACGGTGTGAGTGAAGGTGTTGTTCAAAGTGCAAGGGAAGGTGTGGGCCATGGTGTAAGGGAAGGTGTGGGCCATGGTGTAAGGGAAGGTGTGGGCCACGGTGTGAGGGAAGGTGTGGGTCACGGTGTGAGGGAAGGTGTGGGTCGCGGTGTAAGGGAAGGTGTGGGCCACGGTGTGAGGGAAGGTGTGGGTCATGGTGTAAGGGAAGGTGTGGGCCACGGTGTGAGGGAAGGTGTGGGCCACGGTGTGAGGGAAGGTGTGGGTCACGGTGCAAGGGAAGGTGTGGGCCATGGTGTAAGGGAAGGTGTGGGCCACGGTGTGAGGGAAGGTGTGGGTCGCGGTGTAAGGGAAGGTGTGGGTCGCGGTGTAAGGGAAGGTGTGGGCCACGGTGTGAGGGAAGGTGTGGGTCACGGTGCAAGGGAAGGTGTGGGCCATGGTGTAAGGGAAGGTGTGGGCCACGGTGTGAGGGAAGGTGTGGGTCACGGTGCAAGGGAAGGTGTGGGCCATGGTGTAAGGGAAGGTGTGGGCCACGGTGTGAGGGAAGGTGTGGGTCACGGTGCAAGGGAAGGTGTGGGCCACGGTGCAAGGGAAGATGTGGGTTACGGTGTGAGAGAAGGTGTGGGTCGCGGTGTAAGGGAAGGTGTGGGCCACGGTGAAAGGGAAGGTGTGGGCCACGGTGAAAGGGAAGGTGTGGGCCACGGTGAAAGGGAAGGTGTGGGCCACGGTGAAAGGGAAGGTGTGGGTCGCGGTGTAAGGGAAGGTGTGGGCCACGGTGAAAGGGAAGGTGTAGGTCACGGTGCTACTGAAAGTGTAGGTCACAGTGCTATAGAAGGTGTGGGTCCTGTGTAAGGGAAGGTGTGGGTCGCGGTGTAAGGGAAGGTGTGGGCCACGGTGAAAGGGAAGGTGTGGGCCACGGTGAAAGGGAAGGTGTGGGCCACGGTGTAAGGGAAGGTGTGGGCCACGGTGAAAGGGAAGGTGTAGGTCACGGTGCTACTGAAAGTGTAGGTCACAGTGCTATAGAACGTGTAGGTCACGGTGCTACTGAACGTGTAGGTCACGGTGATACGGAAGGTGTTGGTCACGGTGCCTCCTTAACGTGTAGGTCACGGTGCTACTGAACGTGTAGGTCACGGTGCTACTGAACGTGTTGGTCACGGTGCCTCCTGAACGTGTAGGTCACGGTGCTACTGAACGTGTAGTTTACGGTGCTACTGAACGTGTAGGTCATGGTGCTACTGAACGTATAGGTCACGGTCTCACTGTGTTGGTACGTGGTGTAATGGAGTGAGTGAGCGGATATTGTTTTACTCCTATATTGACTCCGATATTTATATTTTTGATGTAGGTTAATGAGTGAGATGGGTTTAACGTAGGTGTATGATAAGAGTAATAGTAGGTGTTGGTGTGTTATACAGTCAGTTGAGAATGCTACTTGAAAGTGTTGAAATATTTATCGTTGTGTACTCGAATATAAAACCTTAGACAGGTCATTATTTAACCGTTTGCACATTGGTATGAATTATGTTTTCGTCCAAGACTGTTGTTGTTTTCATATTGTTAACATAGGACCATTTGTGACCATTATGAGAGAGAAAAACAACAGGACACGCATGAATACAGTTTTATGGAGCCGGTATAGAATTGTGAAAGGTTTAGATATACCGATGAGTTTAAGGAGTGAGTGAGTCAATTAAACTTTAACGTCGCATCGGCATTATTTCAGCCATATAGCGACGATGAGTTTATGGAAGACATAGACTCCACTCTACAGTGTAACAGCGCTGTATCATCCGCTCTTTGGAATATATGTTTATAAAATCCAATGACTCATGCAGAAATATTTATAGTTTATTGGTTTAGCACAGAAACAAAAACATACACGTTTGAACTTATTGCCAGGGATGCCATTTCACCACTCATCACGAAGAACCGGAAATGAGACACGTGAAGGAAACGAAATGTGACGGAGAGAGTTCGTTTCTATACGTACACGTAGGGTACAAATACAATATGACACACACTGAAGCGATGTGGATGATCGTCTACAGTTCGTTTCTATACGTACACGTAGGGTACAAATACAATATGACACACACTGAAGCGATGTGGATGATCGTCTACAGTTCGTTTCTATACGTACACGTAGGGTACAAATACAATATGACACACACTGAAGCGATGTGGATGATCGTCTACAGTTCGTTTCTATACGTACACGTAGGGTACAAATACAATATGACACACACTGAAGCGATGTGGATGATCGTCTACAGTTCGTTTCTATACGTACACGTAGGGTACAAATACAATATGACACACACTGAAGACATGTGGATGATCGTCTACAGTTCGTTTCTATACGTACATGTAGGGTACAAATACAATATGACACACACTGAAGCGATGTGGATGATCGTCTACAGTTCGTTTCTATACGTACACGTAGGGTACAAATACAATATGACACACACTGAAGCGATGTGGATGATCGTCTACAGTTCGTTTCTATACGTACACGTAGGGTACAAATACAATATGACACACACTGAAGCGATGTGGATGATCGTCTACAGTTCGTTTCTATACGTACACGTAGGGTACAAATACAATATGACACACACTGAAGCGATGTGGATGATCGTCTACAGTTCGTTTCTATACGTACACGTAGGGTACAAATACAATATGACACACACTGAAGCGATGTGGATGATCGTCTACAGTTCGTTTCTATACGTACATGTAGGGTACAAATACAATATGACACACACTGAAGACATGTGGATGATCGTCTACAGTTCGTTTCTATACGTACACGTAGGGTACAAATACAATATGACACACACTGAAGCGATGTGGATGATCGTCTACAGTTCGTTTCTATACGTACACGTAGGGTACAAATACAATATGACACACACTGAAGCGATGTGGATGATCGTCTACAGTTCGTTTCTATACGTACACGTAGGGTACAAATACAATATGACACACACTGAAGCGATGTGGATGATCGTCTACAGTTCGTTTCTATACGTACACGTAGGGTACAAATACAATATGACACACACTGAAGCGATGTGGATGATCGTCTACAGTTCGTTTCTATACGTACACGTAGGGTACAAATACAATATGACACACACTGAAGCGATGTGGATGATCGTCTACAGTTCGTTTCTATACGTACATGTAGGGTACAAATACAATATGACACACACTGAAGCGATGTGGATGATCGTCTACAGTTCGTTTCTATACGTACATGTAGGGTACAAATACAATATGACACACACTGAAGCGATGTGGATGATCGTCTACAGTTCGTTTCTATACGTACATGTAGGGTACAAATACAATATGACACACACTGAAGACATGTGGATGATCGTCTACAGTTCGTTTCTATACGTACATGTAGGGTACAAATACAATATGACACACACTGAAGCGATGTGGATGATCGTCTACAGTTCGTTTCTATACGTAGATGTGGGGTACAAATACAATATGACACACACTGAAGCGATGTGGATGATCGTCTACAGTTCGTTTCTATACGTACACGTAGGGTACAAATACAATATGACACACACTGAAGCGATGTGGATGATCGTCTACAGTTCGTTTCTATACGTACACGTAGGGTACAAATACAATATGACACACACTGAAGCGATGTTGATGATCGTCTACAGTTCGTTTCTATACGTACACGTAGGGTACAAATACAATATGACACACACTGAAGCGATGTGGATGATCGTCTACAGTTCGTTTCTATACGTACACGTAGGGTACAAATACAATATGACACACACTGAAGCGATGTGGATGATCGTCTACAGTTCGTTTCTATACGTACACGTAGGGTACAAATACAATATGACACACACTGAAGCGATGTGGATGATCGTCTACAGTTCGTTTCTATACGTACACGTAGGGTACAAATACAATATGACACACACTGAAGCGATGTGGATGATCGTCTACAGTTCGTTTCTATACGTACACGTAGGGTACAAATACAATATGACACACACTGAAGCGATGTGGATGATCGTCTACAGTTCGTTTCTATACGTACACGTAGGATAAAAATACAATATGACACACACTGAAGCGATGTGGATGATCGTCTACAGTTCGTTATTATACGTACATGTAGGGTACAAATACAATATGACACACACTGAAGCGATGTGGATGATCGTCTACAGTTCGTTTCTATACGTACACGTAGGGTACAAATACAAAATGACACACACTGAAGCGATGTGGATGATCGTCTACAGTTCTTTTCTATACGTACATGTAGGGTACAAATACAATATGACACACACTGAAGCGATGTGGATGATCGTCTACAGTTCGTTTCTATACGTACACGTAGGGTACAAATACAATATGACACACACTGAAGACATGTGGATGATCGTCTACAGTTCGTTTCTATACGTACATGTAGGGTACAAATACAATATGACACACACTGAACACATGTGGATGATCGTCTACAGTTCGTTTCTATACGTACACGTAGGGTACAAATACAATATGACACACACTGAAGCGATGTGGATGATCGTCTACAGTTCGTTTCTATACGTACACGTAGGGTACAAATACAATATGACACACACTGAAGCGATGTGGATGATCGTCTACAGTTCGTTTCTATACGTACATGTAGGGTACAAATACAATATGACACACACTGAAGCGATGTGGATGATCGTCTACAGTTCGTTTCTATACGTACATGTAGGGTACAAATATGACACACACTGAAGCGATGTGGATGATCGTCTACAGTTCGTTTCTATACGTACATGTAGGGTACAAATACAATATGACACACACTGAAGCGATGTGGATGATCGTCTACAGTTCGTTTATATACGTAGATGTGGGGTACAAATACAATATGACACACACTGAAGCGATGTGGATGATCGTCTACAGTTCGTTTCTATACGTACATGTAGGGTACAAATACAATATGACACACACTGAAGACATGTGGATGATCGTCTACAGTCCGTTTCTATACGTACATGTAGGGTACAGATATGACACACACTGAAGACATGTGGATGATCGTCTACAGTTCGTTTCTATACGTACATGTAGGGTACAAATATGACACACACTGAAGACATGTGGATGATCGTCTACAGTTCGTTTCTATGCGTACATGTAGGGTACAAATATGACACACACTGAAGCGATGTGGATGATCGTCTACAGTTCGTTTCTATACGTACATGTAGGGTACAAATACAATATGACACACACTGAAGCGATGTGGATGATCGTCTACAGTTCGTTTCTATATGTACACGTAGGGTACAAATATGACACACACTGAAGACATGTGGATGATCGTCTACAGTTCGTTTCTATGCGTACATGTAGGGTACAAATATGACACACACTGAAGACATGTGGATGATCGTCTACAGTCCGTTTCTATACGTACATGTAGGGTACAGATATGACACACACTGAAGACATGTGGATGATCGTCTACAGTTCGTTTCTATACGTACATGTAGGGTACAAATACAATATGACACACACTGAAGCGATGTGGATGATCGTCTACAGTTCGTTTCTATACGTACACGTAGGGTACAAATATGACACACGCTGAAGACATGTGGATGTTCGCCTACAGTTCGTTTCTATACGTACATGTAGGGTACAAATACAATATGACACACACTGAAGCGATGTGGATGATCGTCTACAGTTCGTTTCTATACGTACATGTAGGGTACAAATACAATATGACACACACTGAAGACATGTGGATGATCGTCTACAGTTCGTTTCTATACGTACATGTAGGGTACAAATACAATATGACACACACTGAAGCGATGTGGATGATCGTCTACAGTTCGTTTCTATACGTACATGTAGGGTACAAATACAATATGACACACACTGAAGCGATGTGGATGATCGTCTACAGTTCGTTTCCATACGTACATGTAGGGTACAAATACAATATGACACACACTGAAGCGATGTGGATGATCGTCTACAGTTCGTTTCTATACGTACACGTAGGGTACAAATACAATATGACACACACTGAAGCGATGTGGATGATCGTCTACAGTTCGTTTCTATACGTACACGTAGGGTACAAATACAATATGACACACACTGAAGACATGTGGATGATCGTCTACAGTTCGTTTCTATACGTACATG